GTCTCGAACCTGCGGGCTCATGCAATCCACTCACCTCAGCCTCCCAAAGTGCGGGATTACAGGCTGAGCCACCGAGCCCGGCGGCCACATTAATTTAGTCATTACAATATTCCTGAGGAATAGGTATTATTACCTAGTAATACCTAGCAAGCAGAAATACAGATGGACGTACATTTTACGGGTGGTCGTAGTGAGAAATACAGACTTTCACCTTACTGCTCCCACGGCATTCTGTGTTGGTGGCCCTCATCACGGTGGTCACTTCTCTCACTCAACAAATACTGACTGAGCACTTGCTGTGTGGCAGGCACTGTGCTAGGCCCTGGGGCTGTAGAAAACCCGTGCACTCAGGTTGATGTCCTAGCAGGGCCAGGTGAACAGGCCAGAAAGGAAATGGGAAGACACAGGTATGGTGGACGGTGGGAAGCACCGCAGGTAAGTTGAGGAGAGGCAGGAAGCGTGGCCGGGCCACCTCAGCCCGCGCTGCTTCCGGGCCCAGCAGGCGGCGCCGGCCCGGGGCGACATAAGCCTTCCCGGGGGCAAGCAGGGAAACAAAGGCCCTTGGGTGGACGCCGCCCGCGAGGCGTCTGCGGCGTTTCGCCGCTTATTCCACTAATGGACAGGCGACGGTCTCAAGCGAGTCTACATTGAAGGAAACGGTCTTTCAGGCCATTTCGCGTTTTTAAAGCATCTTCAGGCCACCTCTTGGACTTAACTGGTGTCACTTTTAAAGACCACCGCAGACTTTGCCGGTTATTTATTGATATCGACCAGCTTTCTAGGGGAAAAAACAGCACTTGGGGTTTCTACCTAGGTTGTAGGGCCTGTTCAGATACAAGTTTCTCGAACCTCAAAGAATTATAGAGCAAAATTTTAACCCACGAAAAAGTAGGACAAGCGAGATAGCCTTCAAAGCACCTCGCGCCGGCCGGCGGAACCTTGACCTCAAGATGGCGTCGCCTGTCTTAAAACTCAATCAGCTCCAATCAAAAACGGAAGGGAGGGTCATCCTGCGCAGGCGCGGTCGGTCTTGACTCCTCCTCTAGGCGCTACTTCTCTTTGGTTAGTCGTCTCCGCGGAGTTGGTCAACGCCCACGGCGCGGACTATCTACATACGTCTTCTCTATGGCTCTACGTCCCCGCCTCCGGCCGCAGTGCATGCCGGGCAAAAGGAAGACCTCCACAAGCGCCCCGCGTAGCGCGGCTGTGTTTGCGGCCTGTGCGAGTAGGCTCCTCGAACGGTCTCTCTGGCGGGCAGCGCAGACCCCGGACGTGGGCCTGCTCTAACCTAGACCCCAGAAGGCCGCGAAGACAGCACCGTCTTCTCAGCGGCGGGTGAGTTCACGCCTCTAAACACTCGTAGAAACCGGGAACCCGGGTGCCTCGGTTGGGAAGGAGGAAGCGCAGGGAAGGCCGCAAGACGGCCAGGTGGGGTGCAGGGTGAGAGGGGTGGGGTGAGGGGGCGTAGGTGGGGCGAAGGGTGGGGTGGGGGATGGGAATCCGTGGGGTGGGGGAGGGTCGGGCACGAGGCCGCGGCTTCCCCGCCTCTCGTAGGCTGAGCGCCCAGTGGGGCCCGAGGAGGTCCGGCGCGCTCGGTCTTCCCTCCGGCGGTGTCGCCCGCTTTTCCTTCCACGTTCCGCTGCGGACGCGAGCGCCTGTGCCTTGTGGACTCACGTTAGTCACCAGACGACCCATCTACCCCGGGGAGCCCTTCCCGGTCCGAGCCGCGGAGACGGGTGGGTTTTCGGACCTGGGACGCTCTCCCGGGTCTTGCCGGTGCCCCCCTCCGACTTGTTTCCTTCCGTTCAGTGAACTGGTCACCCGGAGTCTGCAGCCACCGTGCGGGTCCAGCGGTAGCCCTTCGGCGGCGCCCCCCATTCCCTCCCACCGACTTCTCCCTCCCCCGCCGGCCCCTTCGGCGCCTTGGGTGCCGTAAACTGTTGGGGCCATTCATTCCCGGCACACACTGAGCTCCGCGCCCGGGCTCTTCTTTCGCGCTCTTTCGTCTTCAAGATTGCTTTTTAAGTACCTTTTTGGAAGTAGATGAAGTCTGAAGATTATTTTGACGTTATGTAATATGAATTTACATTGTCACGGAAATGCCGTTTTGCCCGGCCGAGGGAAGCCCACCAAAGGCAGGGAAGGGTTGGACTTGGTCTTGTCTCCCTTGTGATGTGGAGTGCTGCGTGTTAGGGAGTTGGCTCGAGTGTACACAGAGTTTTTGTATTGTTTGTGGAACTTTCATTTTTTTAAAGGTTATTTAAAAAAAAAATCTAGAGGGCTAGAAAGGTGTTCAGTTGATCATCAGTTCTTGATGATTCAAGTGATCTTGCACTATTCCAATTCATTAAATTTTTCCTTAAAAAACAACTTTCTCCTAAAAAAAAAGGTTGAGTATGATAATAGTATCCACCTTATATGTGGGGATCAGGGGTTGGAGATTGAGAAAAACATTGTAAAATCCTTAGTACGATATCCAGCTAACATAGCATATAATTCATTTTCATTAATATTGTGTCATTTAAGAATTTTCAGTGACGTGCAAGAGCCTGACCCTGTCTCTTAACATTTCTTCCAATGTATTCTGAATACACTTGTGTAAACAAAATGGAAATTAATCATTAAGTTCCTTTCTTATTGGTATGTTTATAGAAAGAGGCATTGTGGTATAATGAAAACAGCCTTGGGATTGGTGATTTGGGGATAGTGGGGACCTTGGACAAGTTAGCTTCTTCATTTGTAAAAGAAATAATAAGCCTACACCAAGTAATGTGGGAGAATAAGTGAGATGGTTTATGACAGAGACTTTTGTAAACAAAAGTAAATGCAAATACTGATGTTTCTTATTAAATCATCTTTTTGGGTTACTAGATTTTCTCTTTTTTGACTGCTGAAATGGCCTTCCTCACCCCCTTCCCCTGCACACACCCCTCACTCCCCACCCAAGTATGAAGAAAATGTTCTTATTGTCCCTGTTGCATATAAGCACTGTGTATTAATGATGAGTTTGACTAAGGATTTTGGGTTTTTTTGGTTTCGTTTTCTTGAGTTGGAGTCTCACTGTTGCCCAGGCTTGGGGTGCAGTGGCTAGTGCACCCTCAACATCCTGGACTCGGGTGATCTGCCCTCAGCCTTCCAAGTAACTGGAACTACAAGTATGCGCCATTATGCCTTGATAATTTTTTTATTTTTATTTTTGTATAGAGATAATGTCTGGCTGTGTTGCCCAGGCTGGTCTTGAACTCCTGGCCTCAGGCAGTCCTCCTCTCACCTCTGCTTCCCAAAGTGCTGAAATTATAGGTCTGGGCCACAACGCCTGCCCAGGTTTTATTTTGTGGTTTGCTTTCTCTCTACTATATTGAGGCTCTGAATGTATATATTTGAGTTGGAGTCTCACTCTGTTATCCAGGCTGGAGGGCAGTGGCATGCTCACGGCCACCACAGCCTCAACCTGCTGGGCTCAGGCAATCCTTCTGCCTCAGTCTTCCAAGTAGCTGGAACTATA